TTTTTTTTTTTTTTTTGCGCTCAGACCAATTTATGGACATTTTCCAAGTAATATTCCATACACGTATGTATTTACTTCCTAGTCTTTTCAAGAAAACAAATACCTACCACTAAGCCAATAATTTATCCCATCTAATAACAATATAACCAATTTAACTAAATATCCTAAATTCTTATTAAAAGCTAAAAATTTAGTATCGTTTACATATAAGATCTATTTTATATCACGAATTAAATCTGGTATTTTCTTAATCTGTAATAAAAAACAACAATAGTCCCCAGAACAGAGAAATATCTCTTATTCATTCATCAGAATATTTGTTATTGATATCTACTGTTGACATTCCGTTTTTTAAATACTCTCCAACCAATTATACATTGTACTTCATATTCTCGTAGTGTATGTATTTTTAACAATAAACACAATCAAACACTTTAGTTAAGCCTAACTTTATAATAAACGTATACACTCATATGAGGATAATGTAACAATAAGCATACTTAAATTAGAAAGGCCTGCGAATTTATACTTTCTAAAAGTTATTTTGGTTTTAATAACGGGTTTTTTATAATTCAGTTTCGCAGATTTCCAAAATAATATTCATTTTTTCTATCACGTAAGGATTTTGTTTACAAATCGGAAAGAAAAAAAAACTCTTACTTAGATCAAATTATTATTTCGTTTACCACAATGAACATTTTGTTATTATTATTGTGTTTGTCAACAAAAATACAAACAAGCTGAAGAAAAGGGAAGAACATTGATGTCAAACGAATATGCATCCTCATTTATCCTGATTTTGTATGTGTGAAATCTACGTCTTTTAGTCTCAAAACTACGCGTTGTGGTCTTTCTTTTATATATTGCGAAAAATCTGTACGGGATGGAGAAAAATGGATATCATTTTACGATTCAGCGTACAGGAATTACTGAAGAAAGTGTAAAAATTTCAAGACAGTAAAACCATCGCAGGCCTGTGTTATCCCTAATTAGAGTCTGAATAACTTAAACGCGTTTCCGTATAAGTGACCACAATTGTACACCATATTTAAAGAGCACTTAGTTGAACTCAGTACTCATTAATTAATTACAGACAGAGATGGAGAAAATACCAAAGCACGGTAAAGAAACAATGTTTAATTAACATCCCTCCTTTTTTTTAACCAGCTTTCAAATATCAACTTAATAAATTTAATAGTTATATGTGTATTTCTTTACTTTTATATATACTAGATATATTTATGTTTTCAAAAATAAATTCTTTTTGAAATATTCGTGTTTAGCTGGAGTTTGAAAACTACGCCTGTTGTGTGAAAACTGAACCGACAGTTATATCTTGGAAGTATCATGCAAAAAAGCGTACGTCAACAAACAAAATAAAAAATTCAAGAGGTTCTAATTTCAGATATTTCACACACTTTTTAGCAATGTTAGAAGTTATTTTTACTTTTTTGAAGCAAATACTACTTGTTTATACACATGCAGAATAGTCAAACTAATGTACACATAGTACCGATCAGTTGAAAAACATTCAGAATACGATATATGAC